AGCATAAATTTATATTTTGTGTTTTTTTGTTTGTAAAAATATCTAGCACATTTAATTTTCATGTGAAAAGCATCTTTATATATTCTGTTGTATATTCCCAAAGTGTCTTAATTAATTTCAAAAAGAAAAAAAATATATATGATAGAGCAAGTAAATTTCCAGCATTTATAAAACTGAGGATGACCTAAAAATATAATTGTATACATACTAGACTCCTGTAAATAAACCCCTTCATTTCAGCTTACATATGCCAGTCAAGTAGACATGAGTATTGCAGTGGCCACACCCACAGGCCTCATTACTCCCATCGTTCGTGGTGCAGATGTGTTAGGTATTGAGGAGATTGCAAGCCAAGTACGTGATCTAGCAACCAGAGCGAGAGAGAATAAACTGAAGCTGGACGAATTCCAAGGTGGAACTTTTACGTAAGTATCGGCTCTGGAGTTGAACATTTTCTATTTTTTTCTTTCTTTCTTTCTTTGTTCGTTTGTAGGAGTAAGTTGTAATACAATTAGGGAATGCCATTCAATTTATGTTTACTGTGTTTTGACTAAGAGTTGGCACCTAGAGAGATCAGCCTTTAATTCTGTATATACATGCAGGAAATTATTTCATTTATATGAGCTTGAAAGTCTGTAAGAAGGTGGCATAGGTCAATGGTTGAGTGCTGACTTTGCAATTGCAAGGCCCTAGGTTTGCACCCAGTCAGCCCCTCTCAGTAAAATCAGCTGTGAGTGAGTACTGGCTTTGTGCTGCAATTAAGGAAAGGAACTGGCCACCCTACCACATCATCCCACAGCTCAATACAAATATGTACCCTACGTCCACTTAGATAAAGAACCAACCTTGAGAGGATTTATATTCTTATTTGATTTGTTTGATGATATACAGTACAGTGTCTGTGAATTTATGTATTCAGATTTTGTTTATTTCTTCTTTACAGGATCTCCAACTTGGGTATGTTTGGAATAAGCGAGTTCAGTGCGATTATCAACCCTCCACAATGTGGCATTTTGGCTGTGGGTTCTGGGATTGTAAAAATTGGTGAGTAAAAAAAAGCCTTACCTCTTTGAAAATAAGTAAATAACATAATTAGTAGACAAATGAATAGATATACATAATTGGAAATATTCAAATAAGTGTCTGTAGGTTTTACCTCGTGCCATAAAGTTTACTAAAAGAAGAAAAAAATATATATCCTGGAGACGTGTGACAATTTTGTATACAATTTTTTTTTCCATTTCAGATGAGAATGGTTCACCCGTCACATGCATGAGAGCCACTCTGTCATATGACCGTGCTGGCGTGGACGATGACACAGCCGCTGCCTTCCTTGAAGAGCTCAAAAATATTCTTGAAAACCCAGCTATTATGATGCTTGGAGGCTACAAGTCACAAGTGGACCACCCATTAGCAGCCTTACTATAGTGATACTACAGGACCATCTTGATCTATTCAAAATTTTATCATTTTCATCATGTATAATTTATTTATGTGATTTAGTTTTTTAGACTAGCAAGGCTGGATTATGAGGGAAATTTTTTTTGATTTTATGAAATCTATTTATAGTATAGCCAAAGATATTTGGTGTATATTGTGCAGTTTTACTGTTGTAGAACTATAAAAAAGGAAAATTGCTATGTATTTAAATATATAATTTAAAATATAAGCACCTTACTAGGAAATGGTGACTTGGAACAGAATAAAGTATTGGGATATACAAAGTTATGGTGCAAATTTTCAAACAGATTATATATTATTTGTAAATAAAATAGTGATATTTGCTCAGTTACGAAAATTTGATTTAAGTAACCATAATACTTTGTCGATTAATACAAGCTTATATGTTTTAATGAAGAGAATAGATCCTGGTGTTATCAGCAATAACAGGATTTCAGATCATAATGGGAACTGGAACAACATAAAGCATTTATACTGTCAGGTTGTTGGATATTAGTTGCCATTTTAGGCATCTCTTGGAGACTTTCTGTTGTGTAAATATTTATTGTAAAGAAATGTAATAAAAGTATGAATGTACTGTTGCATTTAAGTGAAACCTGAGTGGATAAATTTGTGTGTATGTGAGTGAGTATGTAGGCAGTTTCCTATCTGTGTGTTTATACGGTTTTGAAGACTATTTTTGATAAAATGTATAATCCCTCTAATCTCATGCCCGCTGTTGTTGCAGGTGGGCTTAGGAGACAGAGACTCAGGCCCAATGCTGGGGATCGTCTCAGCCCTCAACTCAACTAATTTTGCATGGTCTTCTTTTCTTCCCCTTTCCTTTTCCTTCTCTTTTCTGACCCCTTCTACTGTCCACTTCTAAAGTTATGAAGGCTGTGTTGAAAGGATGAAACACTGAATTTGTACCAGTCATGAACAGCCTAGGTATTGAAGATTTTGTACCTTTATTAAGGGCATTGAGGCTTACCTCTTTATCAACTAGCCCCACTGATTTTAATTTTTTTAATTCATAACACCAGACTCTCCTTTTATCAAGAATCTGAACATTACTACTACCCACTCCTCAATGCCTACTGTCACATTCGCACAATCCAAGTGACCCATCCATGTCATTACTTGGTATAACTATCCTTCATTGGAATATTCGCGGTTTCCGCTCCCACAGACCTGACTTTCGTCATATCCTTTCCTCTTATAACCCATCTATTGTATGCCTTCAAGAAACCTTTCTTACACATCCTCCAATACCAATCCCCAATTATCATTTTGTCTCTTCCCCACATTCCCTTTATGTCTTGTCCATACTTTGAACTTTTCAGAAAAAGTGAGGCAGTCCAAGCTCTCCCCAAGCCTAGTTTAGCTCTGAACTGTGTCAGTGGTCGCAGTGGGACAGAGATCTTGCAGCAGCTGTCACCCCAAGGTGTTATGGTCACTTATGGTGGAATGTCAAGAAAGGTAAGTCAGCAGTGTACAATGAGTGAACCAAGCAAAAGGAAGACATTCAAGTTTGGTTCGGGTGGTTATCCATTTTTTCTTCTTTTAAGTAATTTGAAGTAACTGTTGATGGGCATTATGTATTTAAAATCATTTTTAAATTAACGTAATTTTACCATGTCAGCAAATTCACATGCCTCACCTACATATCTGTAATACTGTTTTCTTGATTTATATCAACAAAAAATGCATAAAAGTAATTTGTTTATGATAACTCCATCTTTGTTTCTTTCAGCCTGTTACTGTTCCCGTTGGTTCCCTGATCTTCTCAGATGTGACTCTGAAGGGATTTTGGATGACCCGCTGGAATAAGGCCCATTTTAGTCACCCAGAACGAGAGCTAATGTTAGGTGAACTTTTTGACTTGGTGAAGCAGGGTAAGCTGTGTCCACCTGATCATGCAATGGTCCCCTTTCAGGATTATATAACTGCTTTAAAAGATGCTATGCCAAGTGATGGTATGGTTGGTAAAAAACAAATACTGGTCTTTCCTTAGATATGAACAATCAGTTTTGCTGTGCAAGGGAGTAAAAGAAATATTGACTGTTCTAAACCAGTATACTGAATGGGTTATCTATTTGAATATATGCTATGTATGGTTGAATACATTGAGTGAGGGTTAGCTGCTAATATCCTCATGATGTACATAAAGTTCTGGAAGCAACATATTTATTTTATGACCACCTTTTTTCTTTTTCCTTAAATTTTGGGAAAAACACTTTCATTTTCAACAAATATTAAAGCAGGAGGTGTAAGGTTCACTGTCATGTAATCAATTTATGATAAGCTCAACTAAATATGAAAAATATTGGTCTTCAAAGGTTATGGCTAATAAAAGAGGAAGTAGAAATGCGCACTTTAATAATATAATACTTGCCTTTAGGCTAAATTCAACACATTTTTCCCCTACAAATCTGATATTGGCCCTAAATACATGTGGAGATGAAACATCAATATGTATGTAATGCACCAAAATATACTCAAAACAAATTTAGAATAAGGTATAAAAAACTGCAATAAAGATCTAAATGTATATAATATGCCTCAAGAGAGTTCTCTCTCTTTTTATCTCTAACACTAACAGAGGGCTTTGTATAAATATACACTGGATGTGGTTTGCATCTCACGAAAGGGACTATGGAGTGCCACAAATACAAGGTCAAAAAATAATTCTGATGCCGTGGGTAGTTGGTGGAAGACATGATATAAGGATGAATAGATTGAGATGTAAACAGGCAGTGACGGAGAGATGCATATAATTAAACATGCAGATTGGCAAACAGCTTTTATAACTGTAATATTCCCCGGAAAGAAAGATGAACATCATGATTTCATATTTGTTCTAATACTCGAAAAATTTCCCTTTTAAATAATGACACACAGTTTTCTCATCATGAATGAATATTGGCAGTTGTAGAAAGACCTGGTTACGTATCGTCTTTTGTGATAAGAAAACAGCTGATAGTCATTTGGCGAAAGAACTGGTTGTAGAAAGAACTGGTTATCTATCGTCTTTTGTGATAAGAAAACATTATGTGCACGGGATGCATGGGTTAACATCTAAAATTATCAATTAGATAAGATAATTATCACCAATCTAAATTCCTGACACCTACAACTCGCAAAATATCATCTCTAATTTCATCCCAATATAAAATCCCAACATACAAATTTATCTCGGGAATTTTAACCACAGGCCTTAAATATGATCACACTTTCCTTATATATCCCTCTGAATGATATTGCACGTTGAGAAGGTAACAGTCTGCAATATAACGCAATGCAATGAATATAGCGAAGTGCAAATAATTGAATGTAAATCAGGATCAAAGTCCTTCTCGCATTTCTAGGCTTGTGTGTTCATAATCAAGCGCGAAATATCTTGAGAACGTTGGTCCCTCTCCCGAAGTGACAAACGTTTCATGACTTTTTTTTTTGGCTCAGGTCTCATCATATCTTGAACTTGAGATTATTTGATGAAGCTACAGCGGTGTTTGTGGAAATAAGTTTTTTTTCACTGTGATAAAGCAAGGATTAGGTAC